ACTCACTTCAGATTCCTTATCGACACTGATGTGAACTACTGTACCAAATTTTTCGCATTCGGTCTTGACATCGCATACCACCGATTATACGTCGGATCTGTTCACTTTAATTTAACGGAGGATGATTTAAGGCAGGTTTTTGAGCCATTTGGGCCTTTAGAATTTGTAAATTTACATAAAGATCCCGAAACCGGTCGTTCCCGAGGTTTCGCCTTTATCCAGTAGGTGTTTACGGCAACTTGAAATGAGAAATATCAATCTATGTAAATTTTAATGGCCTATCTTGTTCAGGTATAAAAACCCAGAGGACGCAAAGCAAGCATTGGAAAAAATGAATGGATTCGAGTTAGCCGGAAGAACGGTAAGTTGATATTAATCTGTTTTATTAATGACAACATATACTAATAATCTTGATTATTTTCTTTTTAGATTAAAGTAGGTCTTGTCACTGACAAGAGTAGTGGCATGAACTTGAACCTTGATGATGGCGGTCTGTATTTTTACTTATTCACGCGTATTAACTGACAAGCCATTACGATTAACACCATTTATTATTATCCGCTACAGATGTTGCAGGCTTGGCCCTCAACGCGCAATCAAGGGTGGAATTAATGCAAAAGCTAGCCCGCGATACAGACTTAATCGCTCCTACGACTGCTCCCGTTTTATCAGAACCGTTAGTAGCAATTAAGATTATGCATTGCAAGTTGATCTTTAATCGAAATCTTGGAGGGCTAATTTTTTTAAATATTATAGACCGAAACCCGTTCAGCCGAGAGTGAATCCGACTCGCTGTGTATTGTTAAAAAACATGTTTAATCCAGAAGAGTAAGCAAAATTATTATTTCCGCTTTTACATATTCCATTTCGAAAGCAACTGGTATTGATTGAATGCATTATTGATTTGTTTTAGTGAAACTGAATCAAATTGGGCCGAGGAACTTGAAGACGATGTAAAGACCGAATGCGAAAAATTTGGTACAGTAGTTCACATCAGTGTCGATAAGGAATCTGAAGTGAGTACTCTGTTATTTCCTTGTTTTAGAAACATATCGTAACCATTGTTCTAAAATTACATTTTTTTCAAAGGGAGACATTTATATGAAATTTGATAGTGTGCCGGCCGCCCAAAATGCGGTGAATGGTCTTAACGGACGATGGTTCGGAGGAAATCAAATATCGGCGGTCTTTATTCTCGACATGTTTTATAACGTTCGATTTCCAAAAGCGGCGAACCTATGATCTTTAGTCATCAAAACACCTGGAAACATTTTGTATATTTGTCTTAGTTTGTATCAGACTGATGATCATTATTTGTGGATAGTTTTTAGGTTTTTACATTGGAAGTAGAGGGACGACTTGCCATCTAATGAAGGAAGTCCTTGCATTCTGGGTGCGCCCGTTGAGATACCGTCGCAAGAGTAATTTGTTCATATTTATGGTTCGTTGTACTGTGATACCTGAGTTCTCATGTTCGGCATGTTGAATTTATTCTTTATACATTAGTTTATATGGAAAATTACCACTTCGCGAAGCTATCATTATGATAACATACATACACAAAGGGTTGCAAGAGAAGTTACATTTTTTTCCTACTTCATTTTTCATTAATTCCTTCGTCCTTTTGGTTTTTATTGTATCTTTTTGTTGATCGTAGTCGTAGGATAAACTCAATCGCGAGGCCAGTATCTTTCGAATAAAATTGCTACTATATGACAGGTGTGCCGTGGAACGAAATATTTGGTATACGGATTCCACATGAATATAATTATTTTTTTCTTTACCATCACGTCAAAACCATATACCATCCGGCTATTTTGCCACCGGAAAAAAAAAAAAGTCAAAGGCTGGCGGAATCATTTTCTTTTCATATTTTATCCTTTGAAGGTGACCTGCAAAAGTCAACATCTTGATAGTCCGCAGGCAATTAGCCGATTACCTGATTACATGTTTGCCCAATAAAATCATTGCATCACTTGTTTATATAGTATGTATGTACGTATATACTGCCAGGCAATATTGGCTGGCAAATCAATAGTTTCCATGGTGTCACAGCGCAACTTAAATTATTTATTCTTTCGAAATTTCCCAAACAAATTATACCAAAATATATTATTTGATCAATAAATACATAACTTTTTTTTCTCTTTAGCACCTTATTCCTTGCCAAGTTTTGTATTCTAGGTCTCGCCTGTGGCCGTACACAAAAATACAGTCATTAACCGATTGACAGCAAAATAATCCCTCTTTTATTAGTTTACTTTGTAATCTTTGATTTTCAGATGCTTGAAGTTGAAGATGCAACGATTAAATCAAGCGAGTTTAGCAGTCAAGCGCCTGCGGATTCGCTTCAATCAGACACAAAAATTCAGACGTTTTCGGGAGACCTAGATAAAGTGATTAATGAGGAATTGGTTATGAACACAGATCGTTGTCACATACGACAAACAAGGAAGATAATTCGGTACACCAAGGAGGAATTATTGGCTTTACGTCTGAGTCCATTGGTGAAGCCACCGGACGCTCTGCCACCAATTAGTTCATGGTTCGGGTGAGTGGAACTTTTCCTGCAAACAACTGACCGTGGTCTTTTACTTAGTCTTAATAATATATCATGACAGCTTTAAAAATTATCGATTTTTATTTTACATAGGGAGCCCGTCATAAAAAAAGAGAGTAGGAAAAATAATAATACTGATGGTTCACAGGAAAGTGAGAAGAGGTATTTAGATAATCAAAATTCATTCAACATAATCAGCGCAAAGTGATCATAATATTGTTTCGCACTTGTTAATAAGTAAACAAAATAGTCACAACCTTGGCGAAGGATTAAGTAAAGCGAAAGACGATTCAAATACACTCGGGATTCCGGAAAGTCCCTTATTGGGGGTCTCCAGGAGCCCTAATGGGTCGGAACCGACTTCTCCAAGACCATCAGGTAAAATTCGGAATTATTTGAGATCATATTTACTCGATAATTTTTGTTAATTCAAAATTTCATCTAAAGTTTGATTTACCTTTGACGCGATAAAGATAAGATTATACTTGGTCCCCCCAAAATGAATTTTGCATCATCTTCCGTAGGAGGCTTAAAAAATACCGAAGATAAGATAGCTCAAGTGAGGACCAACAGATCCGAAGGATTGCGACAGCGCCAAGTGAGTGCCTTTGATCTATTTTAGGATGGCATCATGATATTCAAACCCAACGATTGTTCGATATTGAATGGCAGGAGGATGTCTCATTTTCGAGGACCGGGGTCAAGGATTTCGAGGTTCGGGCGCCTCGTGGACCCACAGGTGGACGAGGATTCGTGGGTAGGGAAGCTCTTCGAGATCGCACTTTGACCGAAAAGACGCTCAAGGAACAAACCGGATCCCTGCATAACACGCACGGAAGAGGATTTAGTCATTCACGGTCTCATGAAACCACCAGGAATAATCGAAGAGATGGTGAGAGATATCTCGTGCGAATGTACATCGAATATCCAATGTAAACTATTTCTTACGTGATCCATTTGTGACAGGAGGTATTAGTGGGAAAGATCATTTGGGCAGAGCGAATAATTATTCCAGACATCAACATTCCGAAGAGAAATCGGAAACACCGGAATGGATGAATTATAACCCGCATACCGATGAAGATTCAAAGCATGGTGAAAATGGTGAATTCGAAAATAAAAAACACTTTGACATTCAAGCCTGGAAATCTTTGATGAAAGAACAAGATAAGGAAAGAAGAGACCGAGAAAAAATGAGATCTGATAGGGAGAGAAAAGAAAATGTCGAGAAGGGAAGAGCGCAAAGTGTTTCTCGAGCTGACAGTAGCATATCTTGGCGGCCCGAAAATAAAGCCTTGACAGGGGAAGATTCGTTGCAGAACGGTTCAAAAGACAAAAGTTCATCCGATTTCGATGGTATGATGTAAAATTTTATTTGGCCCAAAGTGTATGACGGCGATGAAAAGAATGAGTTTACTCATCTCAACTTCTTTCCACCCGGTTGTGTAGAATCCTCGCGGAATTTGTCAAATGTTGATCAGCTCTTTGGTCCTGGTGGGATTGACCTCAATTCTTCTGCTTTCGATAAGTTCCTCTCACAGCACAACCTTGCCATGGCTGAAGATAATGTATCAAAAGTAGGGCCAAAAAGCGCCGAGGTGATTCCCCGTGAACAGGGCACATCACGTTTTGCCAGATTTTTTACAAATAGTGATATTGACAAAGAATCCCAAGAGAGTGGGAACAACGGGAGACGGACGAGATTGCCGATGCCAACACAAGGTCAAATTCAAAATACCTCGAGCGAGTTAAAATCTATTAGCATTGATGCATTGTTCCAAAGCCAAGCTGCGGTACCTCCCATCTCTCCTCGGATAACGCCTAATGATGGCACACGCATGCTATCTGGAATGCTAACGGAAGACGAGGTTCTAAAAACTTTGGGTGCAAAACCGGCACATAAACCTGAAAACAAGGAACGTAATTACGAAGATGAGGCCGCCATGAACAAAATATATGCGGCCTTAAAAAAGGGACCCGTAAGTGATCGTTTTTCGCATTTAACGAAATTTTCATCTATGATTAACTTACATCGACACCAACCTCAGTCCTCGGAAGTGCCAAGGCAAAACTCACCGAATGTTCCGTCTTCATCGAATCAACCTCAACAACATTCTACGATATCGCAGTCTGGATTACCATTCAACGATCCTTCTATTGTTAGCACACAGAAGTCGAACCCGATGGGAAAGTCTGGTCAACAGCATCTACCTAAAGTTGATGCGTCGAACAAGCATTTAGGATTTTCCGAGTTGCCACCGACAGATTCCGCCAAAAAAATCAATATGCTTTTTGGAGGAAATGTGCCAACTTCTGTATATCGACAGTTGAGTTCCAGGTCAGATAATGGTTCCAGAGAATCGTCAGCCGCATCTTCACCGGCATTGAAATTCAATGCCAAACCTAATATTTCAAACTTTCCGCACTCACCACAATCATCGGCACATGTTCATGATATTCATGCGCCGATTTTTAAATCTCCCCCTCCACGTTCACCCGTTCTTCCCCATCAAAGTCACAATCACTCTCCTTATCACAACGTCGTTCCTCCGTACTCTAACGGTCCAAGTATTCCTCAACATACAAACAATCGACAAGAATACCCACCACCCGTGGGAAGAAATATACCGGTAGAACAGTTGTTTGGAATGATGCCACCGCGTAACGTTTCCCAACAAATTCATCCTCAATTTCCACAACCTCTTATTCCCGTCTCCATGCCTCCCCCCTTACCATACGGCCTCCAACATCAACCTCAACTTGAACGATACTCCCAGCAACCTCAATTCACCGGTGCTCCCATACCTCAACATCTTTCCGTGCACCATCATCCCGGCGTGTTACCTCCTGGCACTGAAGCCTTGTTCGCGAACATGCATGGGTATGCTCAATTCATTCCGAACCTTGTCAACAACGCGATGACGCCGAATAATATACCAGGTAAGAAAATGGAATTTTCTGCAGGAGGTGTCATGCCACTTGATTGATGTCATGAATGAAATGTTGTTTCTCATCGTCCAACAGGAATCCCAAATAATTCAAATCTTCAACAACGCGGAATGATGACTCTGGAGGAGATCGAGAGACGAAGCTTGGGCGGACGTTGAATCATTCCTTGAATCAAGGATATGTGCAGATCACCTTTTATATTTTTTTTTTTTTTATTGCTTTATCGCATCATCAAAATCCACTTTCCCTCCTTTTCTACTCGAGAAATACACACTGACTGTAATTACACATATGCTTAAACATACTTATGTTTCAATAATATTCTTTAGCCATCATAAATACTCGTAATGATTTTAGGACGCAGGGAGCGTAATGTTGAGAGCGTATGACGGTTCGCATTTTACGCAATCACAATGCATTGGATGATATTGCGAGTGGTCTTCCTCCAAAGTCATCATGAACTATTGGAAAATATATTGACATATTGTGCCTAACACAAATGCGTCTCACCTTATCTCTTTTGTATAAAGATTAAATAATTCTTGTTTCTAGAACACTTAATTTACAATTAGGCTTTAATAAATCTGACTTTGAACTGCTTTTCTTTCCTTTTTAGCATTCACCTTTTCATTTTTTTGTTAGAGAATTGGTATATAGATACAGTATATAAACACACATGCACCTTGAATAAAACTTAATCAGACTCACGTGATACTATGGCGGTGATCGAACAATTAATAATAATAATAATAATCACAGATCTTTTTTTTCCAATGTGATATTAAAAATTTTTGCAATAATATTACTGGATTTTACTTTAACATTCATAATTTTAACTAGATCTAATTAAAGTCAACATCTGCGGTCTGTGTGACAACCATCAAAGATCCTCCATGCCACAGGATCATGCAGGAAGTGATAGACTTTACATTTACTTGATCAGTTCACGTGAAGATTTAAACTGTAACACGAATACGCAAAAATCATCATATTTCGAATTTGTAATCGAAATTCTCGAAGAACGATGTATGCTCTAAGGAGACAACGAATTTTAACCAGACTTTGTAAATTCGGAGCACCACGCGCCTCTGTTCAAGCCACGCCTGTATTCACGCGATTTCCGAAACTTTTGAGATCTGGAGGTCGGTCTTTGACAACAGTATGGTAGGCGTGCTCTCAGTTTCGAGATAAATGGACAACGGCTTTCAACTCAACACGTCCGTATCACTACCTGGCTTACATGTTAATTTCGAATTTAGTACACGAAATGCAATTACCCCTTGCCTCTCTAGCCCACGAATTTACGAAGCCCCTTTGCGGCGTTACTACGGTTCGCAACGTAAGGCACACAGTTTGTTCATCAGTATTCCTGAGAACTTTTATCGCAAATTAATATGTCGATGTTAAAGAGGAGTTCGTTAAGTGATTTCGATTCATGAGTTTTCGATGTTCACCTTCATCCTTCCAGAGTATCCAAGTCACACGGTGATCTCCATGCCCGCCTTGTCACCTACGATGACCATGGGAAACGTTGGCAATTGGAAAAAGAAGATCGGAGACGCCGTTACACCGGGAGATGTATTGGTAGAGATTGAAACTGACAAGGCCCAAATGGACTTTGAATGTCAAGAAGAAGGTTATCTCGCCAAGGTTCTTATAGAAACCGGTGCGAAAGATGTTAAAGTTGGCAGTGTAAGTGTCCTTTCGTAGTGGACATTTGGATTTGATTCCAGGGATCCATTGTTGAAATCACCTTAGCCCTTAGCTATCCTTGCAGAAGACCAAGAGGATGTCGAAAAATTTGGGGACTACGCTCTCGAGGAAAGTTCAGCTGCTCCTGAAAAAGAACACGCCGAGGAAACCAAGGCCCCGAAACCGTCCGCTCGAGGGGAGGCACAAGAGGAACATCCGTCATCCAAGACACGTGAACCCGCCAAGAGTCGTTCGCCAACAGATAGAATACTCGCGAGTCCGGTAGCACGCAGGTTAGCGGCCGAGCGTGGAATTCCTCTTGATCAGGTCACCGGCACAGGACCAAAAGATCGCATTGTAAAAGCCGATGTCTTGAATTACGTCCCTTTAACAAAAGTTGAAAAGTCGACTGCTCCAGACGTTGAATACACGGACATTCCTCTGAGCAATATTCGCAAGGTTATCGCTGAACGATTAAGTGAATCCAAACAGTTAATCCCACATTACTATTTGACCATAGAGGTGGATGTGGATAGACTCTTGAAACTCCGTGAGGAACTTAATAAGGACAGCAATGGAAAGTATAAACTTTCGGTTAATGATTTTATCATCAAATCAGCTGCTTTGGCATTACAGGACGTCCCAGAGGCGAACTCTTCTTGGCACGGTGATTTCATTCGACAGTACGCATCATTTGTCATTCATTCATTGTTAAGGATCGATCTTGAATCTTGTTACTTTTCAGATATCACGATGCTGACATTTCGGTCGCCGTCGCGACTCCTAGCGGGCTGATCACGCCTATTGTAAAAAAAGCACAAGCCAAGGGATTAGCATCTATTTCTAAACAGGTTAAAGAGTTGGCGGATCGTGCAAGGGAAGGAAAGTTGGCACCTCAAGAATACCAGGTTTGAGAAATTCAATTCATCGGTATTTCAAATATTTTTTCATCCTGAACCGTCCGCTTTTATTATAATTGACACAATAGGGCGGAACTTTTACCATCTCGAACCTCGGGATGTTTGGAATTAAATCTTTTACAGCCATCATTAATCCGCCGCAATCTTGCATCCTTGCGGTTGGTACAACCCAGCAAAAACTCGTCCCCGATTCTAGTAGGGAGACGGGATACCGGATCGCAAACACCATGCACGTAACTCTCTCGTGTGATCACCGGATTGTTGATGGGGCATTAGGAGCACAGTGGCTCTCTGCATGGCGATCTTACATGGAAAACCCAATCAAATTGATTTTATAGACTTTTTTTTTTTTAATAACATTTGTATTACCTATCTTGATACTAAAATTATCTAGTCATTTCCTTTTTACCGGAATAGATTTTAATTTAAATCATCTCTTGTTAAAAATAATATTTTCGTGGTGGTCGTGTGTGATTTCAATTCTCATTTTGCATTATATGATCGAATCCGGAATAACGATTGAATCTTGAATTTGATTCATCGAGCGGTCAGAAAAAGTGACCGACCGATTGGCATTTATCTATAATTGAGGCCATCGGTGAGAACCTGTCAAGTGAGCAACCCGCCATCCATTGACAGGATCGACGGCTGCTGCTTAGCGGCAGCGCTTATACAAAAATAAAATAAAATAAAGAGGTTAGACCAATCTCAATCGACGGACGGAATGGATGTCGGAATTTCGTAAACGGAAAATAGAAATGCACACCGGTGGTAAGAATTCAGGAAAGTTTTTTGCGATTTTTAGAACATCCTGATGGTGTTTATCAATTATGCACGCATGTACGTACACACACCCGCTAGCATTTGGAACAATACACTAAAACAATAATGTCGTGCACTACATGGGTCTAATGTTCCGACCCTGCTTTGACAGTAAGTAGACTTTTTTAAATTGTGCGCACGCACGTACGGTTACACGCGAGACGACTCAACACTCGGTGACACAGTCAGGGTTCATAATTACATGTGTAACGGTTACACGAAAACTTATGTTTAGCATCGTGCAGGATTTTTTTTTTTTTTTTTTTTTTTTTGCGGAAGTGAAACAGGTATAAAATCTATCAATATCGACAGAACAATCCGCTAATTTTCCAATTTCACTTTTAAGCAGGTATCCAACACAGTAAAAAAAAAAAGAAGTTAACATACGTCTATTGAAAATGTCGGATAACGAAATCTGCTCCCCAATAGAGGAAACCACCCGTGAAACCGTGGGGGATCAAGAGGTAGCAGAACATGAAAACGGAAGCGCCGGGTTCCCTTATTCAGTTGACTCTGAGATGCGAACCGTTTTCTCAGATCCGGTGAATTTTAACGTGAAACACCCATTGTATAATCAGTGGACGTTATGGTTCGATAACCCAGGCAAGAAAGCTAGCTCGACGAATTGGTCTCAAAATTTAAAAAATCTGATCACCTTCGATTCGGTAGAAGAGTTTTGGGGGTAAGTTTATTTTCGGACTTCATTCTCACGTCGAATTTCTATTTAACATTCATCCGTTCGTTATCATCTTTTTTTTTTGGTTTAGTGTTTACAACAACGTCGTCAAGGCTAGCGAACTTAACTCCGGTTCTAATTACCATCTTTTTAAATCTGGTATAAAACCTATGTGGGAAGACCCGGTGAACGAGAATGGCGGAAAATGGGTCATTCAGTTCCCTCGGAACAAAACTGGCGAAGATATCAACAATCTTTGGCTTTATACAGTAAGTTCTGCAGTACCATGCTAAATTTGATGTCAGCGGTCATTCACTCAACTACCGTGCACATGACAGATGCTTGCGTGCATTGGTGAATCATTTGACTATCCGGATGAAATTTGCGGTGCCGTGGTTTCCGTCCGTAAAATTTTTTACAGAATCTCCCTTTGGACACGTACATCGAACGATAGAGAAGTCTGTGAGACTCTTGGGTACGTCTGAAGTTTTGAATGTGTCCTTCCTTTATCAATACTGCCTGACTGTTGTGTTCTGGAATGCAGGCGTCAATTGAAGGCGACCTTGGGTCTGGGTCAAAATCAACAACTTGAGTTCCAATCACATTCCGATTCTGCAAAGTCCGGCCTACACAAAGAACGTTTCCTTGTATAGAATCGAATGGTGACACGCGGACGCTTTAGGAATTCCGCACCCAAATGATGCACTCCATTATTTTATTATTTCTCTGTATATTGCTTTCTAGATTGAAGAATCTGTTATTTTTTCTGCTAGTCGCTGCTATTTGACAGGTGTTTCCTAACGCCTGGGAAGTGATAATTTGTGTCAGAAACCTTCCTATTCTGTACATTAGATACTTTCTTTTTTTTTTTTTAGAAAAAAAAAATTGTGATACCGTTATCCACGGTATCACAGGATACAGACATAGGTTATTCTACAAAATTTAGGCATCACACCTTTTCAAAGAATCAAAATTTTGATTTTACGACGATCAATCCAACCACGAGTTCCAGCGGTTGGTCGAAAGCCCTTTTCCATCGACCCTTTAACATGCTACTGTTGAATATAGAAAAAAAAAAAAAAAAACAAGTGTAATCCTATTATTCGTGTCAATTGATTACTGCTACACAATTCGATTTTCATTCTACTTCACGTTGGCATCGTGTCTTTCTGGAATTATGGGTGGGCCGTCATTCAAGTAGCTGACTTTGTCTTTTGTTTTTTTTAAGAACCATAAGAATCAAAATAAGCTTAAGGATTAAAATTCATCATCTATCTGAACAACTGTTCAACGAGATTATCCATTTCCCGATATTTTACTTGAATCCTCTATTATTGAACCATATATGCCTGAACTATGCGAATCGCTGATTACTTTTTAAGGTTTCTTTCGCCTGCGGGATAATGAAATGACGTATCTAAGTTTTCTCCCACAAATCTACATACATACTGTAATTTGTCAAATCTCATTTTTATCACATTAAAATGCTAAATGAATTAATTGACAGGTAATTTCTATAAAAACTCGGATATAAATAACAATTATAGAAAGATTCTTAGTTTAACTTTATATACAGTATTAATTCTTTATCTAAATTTACTTCTCAGCATATAAATTCCGAATCATCTTTGAAGTGAATTTTTCATAAATAACTTATTGTAATTATATAAATTTTTTATAGAACCGATTCATTCTATGTTATCACAATACTATAAACAAATTTGTTCTATTTTAAAGATACATATGTTTATTATAATCCAATAAATAGTTATATAAGAACTTTTTTTTACTGATTTTTCTTTTTTAAAAAAATAATTTTTTTTTTTGTAATTTTCTTGAAAAAAGTGAACCAAACCAATATTACAACTTTCTCGACAAACTACAAAACACAAGCAACATTATAACTAAAATTAAAAATATTGCTAATAAAGAAAATTATAAAATTTTTATTAATATAAATTTTTTTTTAAAAAAAAAATAAATATAAACTGATTTATAATTAAAAAAAAATAATTAACATTAATTTTATAAAACTTATAATCAAATCAATATTAATTAATATCTTTCTAAACACTATAAGTAATTTTGGTTTCAATAAGTTTTTCAATAAATCAAGTTATTTGAAGTTATCAAAATTTAAAGGAATATTAAAGTTTCTTAAAAATTAAACAATTTGATTCATATTTAATTAAAATATCTAAAACAAGTAATACAAAAATTAAACTTGAAAATTTTATTATTGTGTTTTAACTAATTGATAAATTTTAATTTTTTTTTTTTTTAACCTATAATCATACTATCAGGACTTGTCTTTATTAAGATATTAAAAATATCTATAACTATATATAAACTATTTATATAATAACCAACATATTTTTTTTCTCCTCTATCAAATTAATTATATATACTTTATTAAATATTTGTAAGCTGTACATATTAAATAAAATATTAAAGCCAATTCTCTAGCTAACTTACTTGTTTTGGTTATTTTATCTCTCTAAGTGAAACTTCAAAAATAATTTTTCATTCTATTAAAAGTTTAGATAAAAACCCTTTCAATTTTTAATATCATTGCCCACAAGTCACTACAACAGATTATTCTTTTAAGCTTTGATAGAAATCAAAACCCTAATCACTTTATACCATACTTCACATCATTTAGTAAAATTTTTTCTAACTTTTTATCTTTGATTCTTTTTTTTTCATATAACAACTTCTTACTAAATCGACTTTCTATACTCTTGCTTTTTCTTTCTTGATCCTATATATGTATTGATTTCTTAATCTTGTTGTATTTACAAATTCTTGATATTTGTTCTCACTCAATCACTTTTTTATATTACATATTTCATATATTTTTTTGGAAGTGGTTACTTACTTTTTTCTATATTTTCATTATTCATATTATTGCCTCTTTTCTAATTCTCTTATCACAATACTTCAGATCAATTATTTTTGCAATTAGATCTTCCTCTATTAGTCTTATATAGAAGTTGAGTGTATTCTGATTGATTTTTGAGATCCTTTTCACCAGTTTTGTTATCTATTTGTCATTTTTCCTATTTCTATTCTATTATTTATTATTAAGTTTAACTTTTTCTCTTCGAATTCCTTTTTTCTTTTTTTTGAGAACTTTCTAAATTTTTTGATAACTCCTTTCATTTCTTTTTGCCATGCCTCACTCTATTAAGTCTTATAAGTTAGACATTCTAACAAGTGTTCTATTGTTTTCTCTTTCTGACTATACATAATATATTTCATTTACTTATACAGATCTGGTCTTTATAGGATCAGCTTAATTAATATCAGTAGCTTATTATTGATCAATTTAATGAAAAAACTTTTGTTTTGTGAATTTTTAAAGGAGGTGTTCCATATATATCCATTCTTAAATTGTTCTTATACTAGGTCCTATATGTATTTGTGTTGGTCTTGGATTTACTAATTCCATTTTTTTTTGGTTTTGCCTTAAATTGTTTATTAATAGGCTATTACTTTATTATTTGTTTTTTTTAATAGCTTGCCTTATGGAGGTATTTAACACTATATCTTGTCATTTAATTTCTGTAATAATCTTGAGTGAGACTAAGTTTTTCCATTTTATCATTGAAAACCTTAGTGTTTCTTTGACAAAAGTATTCACTTCTTTATTATACTGAATATTAAAATATGCCTTAACCTTGATAAACTTGAGATTTAACTTCTTTTTCTTTATAAGATCCAATATATAGTATGTACCTATAAGAACCAGTTTTGTTCTTTTAACCATCTTTTATAGATCATTCTGAAATTCTTCTTTTCTATAGTTTTCCATTTTAAGATGTAAACTTAATTATCTATAAAGATCTTGATCTTGCTATTTACTGAAGTTACTAGTAATATAGTTACTATTACTACTAATTCTGTTCTAGTGAATGAAGACCAATCATCTACTCTAGTTTGAAACTTGCTTTCTCTTTCTATTTCTCCTATATATATCCAAGCTGTTCTTATTTTTATGTTTATACTTCCATGATTTATAAGGAACCTGTTGGAATAGAAGGTTATTAATTCTTTTTTTTTCATGTTATATTTAAGTATTTCAATCAGATAAAATTGATAGGTATCTTTTTCAATATAATCTTTGATAATATTTATTTTCCTATTTTCTATTTTAACCTGTAATATTCTTTTATTTTGAGTATTACTTGATTATTACATATTGTTCTACATATTGTTTCTTCTAATACTTCTTTGAGATTTGAGATTTCTAATAATTGAACTCTTCTAATAAATTTTCTTGCATTGAAATAAGAAACCATATGTATTTTCTTTATACTTGTTTTAATTATATATTATTCTTCCATTTTATGCCTTCTATATAATCTTGACATCAGGCTAGTTTTGATTCTTGGTTTTTAACTAGACTAATATATTTGAAGTACTCTATTTTAAGCTATCTTTTAATATTATCTAGAATTAATTTCTTTCAAATTATTTGTTGCTACTGAAATTTACTTCTTGTAATTACCCAGAGTTTCAATCGTTTGTCAAAGTTGAAGTTGAGATTAAAGTGTTTTAGACTCTATTTTATTCATTCTTTTTTTCAGGATTCTATAAGCTATTTTAATTTATTTTCCTGAATTATTTCAGTTATAAATAAATATCATTCTGGAATAGATTCTTTGCTTTTTTTTATAAGAGTTAGAGCATTTGCCAATTTTGTATTTCCTTTGTTTTATAATTAACTAGCTGGTCTATATATATTAGCTTGTTATTTCAAAGTAATGGAATTGTTTTTTTATATTCTTCCATCAACAAATATTTTTTAATTAAACAGTTTCTTTGATCTATTCAAAAATGTCATTCCATTTTCAACTTTAAAAGGTTATGCCTACATTCTTGATTAGCTTCAATACTTATAATGAGAAGTTACCCTTTCTTGAAAAATTATTCAGCAAGTTACAAGTAAACATATTGGTAGGTTCCCAGTATTTAACTTGTGCTTACTTGAGTCTAATAATCATTATAGTTTTAGTTGATCCAGGGTCATTTAATCTATTGCACAGTTTTGTTATCTAACTTTCTTTTTGTAATATCCAAACACTCTTTAAGTTATAAATCTTATAATAGTGTATTACACTGTTGAGTATTAATTGATATAATATAGCCTTATTTTTTGAACAGTTTTCTATATGTGATTTTTAAGATGTTGTATATTTTTCAAGACAGTATACTATGTTGTATTTTGAATTCAATTTTTGGTATTAGTACTCTATTCAAAATGTAAAGAGTTTATTTGTCAGTTAGCCTTTTATTTTTTAAAGTTCTGATAACTACATTGATTTCTTTAAACATCTATTTTTAGAGCTCAATAACTATCTTTTGATTGCCTATCCAGATCCCTAGAAACCTTGCTTGTTTCATTTTATCCAATTCTTTTACTACTTCTTTATTAACTCCTACTTTAACTTTCTTAGGATACTGGTTGGGACTATTAATAGTAACCAGGACAAATTTGTTACTATTGTTCTAAAAATCATTTATCCTATAAAATATTCTTGCTTTTTTTAATATTTTTTTCATATTTTTCTTTAAATGTACTATCTATGTGATATCATTCATGAAGGCTATTGCTATATATTATGACTCTAGCTTTCTACTACTATCTCCTTTCAAATTTGGATTCCAGATAACTGATATTTTGTATCCTTTTGTTTTATCATTTGGAATCTTATATAATAAAGGATCATAAAATATTCTTCATATTAGAGATGAAATAGTTTCTTCTTAAACAATTCTATCTTCTACGATAATTGCTTTTATTAAATTTTTTTCATATATCACTTTAAATTCTCTATTATAAAATAGATTTATTATGATTCAGATAAAACCTTTTAGAATTTTGATTCTTTTTATAGTCTTGATTAGTATATTCAAGCTGATTGTATTATATACCTTTGTTATATCTTAAAAAAGAATCCATAACTTTTTTTTGTTTTTTTTTGTTTCCTCACAGATATTATTAAGGATTCGTATTGGTTCTACTATCCTTTCTTCTAGTAATTCTATATAGTTGAAACCTCACAGAATATTATTATTCTTGCAGATATTTTTCAGTCTATTTATGAGAAGCTTAGTAAAACACTTTTATATAACTTTTAGCAATACTATCAATCTTGTATTGATAAATTTACACTTTCATAATTTTGATTTTACTATAGAATATATTGTATGTACAACTTACAAATGTTTAATAAAGCATACATAATGCCTAATAGAGGGAAAAAAAAAAAAACAAATATATAAAGAATTGATTTTAGATTTACCAATCATAATCAATCATATAATATATCATTTATAGTTTTACACTCGCTGATCCTCTGACTACACATAAAAAAGATATTCGCAAGAAATTTTAATACTTCTTTGCTAATAAAGTCTTATCACTCTCTTTAAACCAATACAAAGGTTTCCTTTGTAACTTCCTTATCTTCCCTTTCTCCTCTCTTATTTACAATCACTTTTGAAATACTGGACTCTTGTGACCTACACTGTTCAGCTCTACCTTTACTATCCATAGCAAGAAAGTTTCTAAAGAAAAAAAGATCAATATCAAAGTACTGTTCTCCTTTCAGCTATGGTAGAGATGACAGAGGTTCTATTCCAGTCAGAGGACTCACTTTTCTCCCTTCTAACTGACCTTTGACCTCTCAGAGCTATCTTTTTTATGACTTTCTGGAGAATTTTGCCTATTTCAGCTTGATCCTGAAATTTCGGGTAGCATGGATCTTGCCAATTCTGATTGGATGACACGAAACACATTGGACAAGATGGATAAACAAATTCCTATTGACCACCTCATGTGTCTGAATATATTTCTTCAGTTCCATAAGAACCTGGAGTCCACCATAAATCATATGCTTCTGGTGCTGATAGATACAGAACATGCTCTCTCTTATATCAGTAGAAATTCAAACAAAAGAGTCCATCCAACCATAGTAAAGGTTACAAGACACTCCAATCGGTTTTGTCATTGGAGTTACCTACTTTTGGTAGTCAAATAGGTTTTCGCAACTCAGGCAGATAGGTAAAGATCTACTTTCTTTTAAAATAAAAACAAACAAGGTGGATAGGAATTTTTCTCCGGTCGGCGGGTTTTTTACTTCTGATTCATGGTTTATAGGAGGACCACAAACTGAAAAACAACATCAAGAATTTCAATACGACTCTCCCTTCAACACAGCCTTTTATGATTGCTAGTGATACTCAACAATTTTACTTCTAGTGAGAGTACTTGAATGGAAATATTTGCCAGATTGGTAAACTCCCTAAAGACTTAGCCTGACTTTGAAAGATTTGTACCTTCTTAAATAAGCAATATATGCTTGAAGCTGGTATTATCTTTAGGACTAGGTTGACAACCCCTCCATAGGTTTTAAGGTACCTTTCTAACCATAGGTTCACTCGATTCTTTGAATGAGTAATCCCTTAGGCAGAACATAGAGTTTTGAAATCATTTCCTATCCTTTTCAAGAAAGACAACCCTTCCCTTTCTCCCTTTCGAAGATTTAGACATGACACTCTGACAGATAATTTGTAAATATTGACTCTTTTCATGGTGAAAGTCTCAGTGAATGGTTGGTAGTAAAGTAAAGAAAATTTTAGGTTATCATCCGGCAGCACTTTTTTTTTTTTTTTTTAGTTACATTTCCTTGGTAACAACTATAAGGAATACATTCACTAGCTCGGCCCAGGCAAGTTAGTTCCCATCATGGGCAAGAAATGATGGACCCAAAAAGGACACTCAAACAATATGGCATAATCCAAGACGAAATGTTATACATCAGAAGAAGGTCACCTGCGCCGTCGGATGTCACGTAATTATTTTCATAACTATAGTAGCAGGAAACAACGTCTTACGCGATCAAAACTTATCTAATAGTTTAACATCATTAGCGAAGCGGAGCAATTCAGACATACATTACTGGGAAATCCCCACATGTTGGAACAGTTACGTCAAGTAAGTTTACGTCACATGCAGCTATTAAATGTTCTTCACAAATGCATTTCTTATTCTTTTTTATTTAAAGACTCAACTAGAACTTGCTAATGCAGTAAATGATCCGGTTCGATTCGCCACGCTGATTCAACAGATGATGCAACGCCGAAATGAGGGAGAACTTCAAAGGGCACAACAGATCGTAGGATCGTAGGGTTATATGATTGATGACTTTTGAATCGCATATGTAAGTAGTAGTTCGTTAAAAACTTTGATTAAAATTTTTTAGAGCCTGCTTAATGCAGATCCTTTCAACATTGAAGCACAACGAATGATAGAAGAGAATATAAGACTGGAAAATGTCATGGCCAATTTTGATGTTGCTATGGAACATACGCCTGAATCCTTTGGTCGAGTATGTTTTTTTTTTCTTTTAAATCAATTCTTATCTACCTAGCACTCTCTTTCCTTCTAATATCTTTCCTCTTTCAAACATTTGCTAGGTAACAATGTTATACATTGATGTTGAAGTCAATAAACATCCGGTGAAAGCTTTCGTGGATTCTGGAGCTCAAACCACTATTAGTAAGTATGATAAAGAAATCGAAATTTACAGTGCTTGTATTAATCGCAAATCATAATTCAAGTGAGTGCTCATTGTGCTGAAACTTGCGGGTATGTATTTTTTTTTTTTTTTTGATAGAATGATATTTCTCAGTGTGCATTCCGACACGTTAAATAAGTTGTATTTCGCGAAACGCAGGATTATGAGGCTTGTAGATCGCCGATTTTCTGGAATTGCTGAAGGGGTAGGAACTGCCAAGATTTTAGGAAAAATTCACAGCGTCCCAATTCGGATGGGCAATGACTTCTTGCCATGTTGGTTCACAATTATAGAAGTCTGTTTCTATTTTTTTATGATCGTTTATGTTTCTGGATTGTCGATGATGAAATGACGTTTTTTACAAACCATTTTTATTACAGGGTCGAGGAGTTGAATTATTGTTTGGGTTGGACATGTTGAAAGGCTTTCAGGTATATGAATTTATCTCATGATGAAATATATAGAATGACATTTTAATAAGTTATTTATCATCAGGCATGTATTGACTTGAGGAAAAATGCGCTGATAATCAATGGAAACGAAATTCCTTTCTTGCCGGAGCACGAATTACCGGAATATGCGCGAACGGATAAAATAAGTGAGGTCACACGAGATGAGTCAAGCAGCAGCACCAGTGCTATGTCAAATATGCAATCTTCACAAGCTTCCGGTACAACCTCAAATTCGATCTCAAATTCTTCACCTTCAGGTAAGGTATTCGATATCAATGTCATAATTTGCTTAGTTTATGAGAAACATAAATTTACTATATACGTGTAATAGCATCACAATCCCGACACCCCGAAGAACACATTAATAATCTGGTTTCAATGGGCATCTCACGAACTGAAGCAATTAAACTTTTGGACGCTGCGAATGGCAATGTCGAAATGGCGGCGAGTTTGTATTTCGGGGAATAGATAGTTTAAATTGGTTATTTCAATCGATGAAACCGGTTTTATCTGCAATTCACATGTCATCTTATTTTTTTTTATTTTTATTTTTATTATTTTTATTTACTAATCGATTCATTCATTATTCGTATTGATATGATAAAAATTTATGAATTTTGAACTTATAAGGCAAGATTAATAATTGAGAAAATCCACTATCACAGATGCATGACTCATTTAACTGAGACTTTGTTCATTTTCCTTTCCTCGGCGGCAACCATTTCTTTCCATTGATAAGAACCAGCAGGAATTTTCCTTTCTCTTTTATCACCCATTGATAGACCCGCAGTCGCCAGGATCAAGGCAATTGTTAAAGCTTGCGCCATCATACGTGCTTGCACTACCTTTTGAGAAACAGTCAAGTATCTGACATGCAAACAAAAAAATAAGGTTGCATGAATAAATAGAATGAAAGTTAAATTGGTTGAAATATGTAAAATCTCGCTCACTTATTTCTTGAGGTGTACGCGATGGATCCGACCATGGCCAAAGCCCAGCTTCCACAAACCACACTATAACGATTTTCCGAGACAAAATCCTTTGCAACCGTTAAAGCTGAGCGCCCTGGATCATGATGTATGACAGGTTTATAATATCCATACTTTTGCCTTTCATAATTTAAACCCGCACGTTCAGCAGAAATAATGCACGCAGCGGTTGCACCTGCAATAAACCAGGTCTTGAGTATAGATATGTAGATGAAATAAATATATATTAAATTATTAATACCGGATGTAACCAGAAATGCTTTTAAGGGTAATGTCAAATTTCGATAAAACTGAGAGTAACGTTGCGCCACAAATGAAAGTCCCAAAGAGACGCATAGCCCAACGGCACCGCCTTTTAAGCCACCTTTAACTGTAGAACGATGATGTTCTATTTGGGATGTAAGAATAATGAGAATTGGGCTATTTTATTTGAAAAATGATGTGCGAATAAACATTACCTTCTTCTTCTTCTTGCGTGAGAATTTTCATTTTTTAAACCTTCAACAATGAGGCATCTCATCTGATGCATTTTGCATCTGACGCATTATTAAAAAATAAATTAATCTTGCTATAAATATCCGACATCCCAAATATAATATCATCATTTCTTTTTTTAGTAATTTCAGTGTAAAATTAAATTTTTTTTTTTTTTTTTTTTTTTTTTTTTTTATTTAAATCGGCTCAACCTTCAGTTGGCTTTTATTAACTTTAAACTCGATATTACATATGTATTATCTACTTTAGAGCTAACTAAAAATTAGTAACAATACTAGCATGTATATTAAAATTTTGTATGCAAAGATTCCTCCCGATTCAGATCTTCTATGAGGACCTCCATGGTCTGTTGCCTCCCATATAGGGAACTAACTTGCCTAGGCTAAACTAGTGAATATATTCCTTATAGTTGTTACCAAAAAAGTGTAACTAAAAAAAAAAAAAAAAGTGACTGTTGGGTGATGATCTAAAAATTTTCTCTCATGACTTTTATTTAGCAAATTTTAAGTTATATTCAACTCGACATAGAGTCTACTCAATAACAATACATATATTTATATATCCTTTTCCCCCGTATTACTCTGTTATACACTGTGTACACTAAATAAGTACTATATATATCAACTATTCTTAACATTTATCTATATTTAGCTAGTTATATAGACTATGTTATATGTATAAGTACTACCTTATCGGAAAGCCATGCGATTCCGTCTTGATTGTTCCCAGCACAATTTTTTTCTGTAGCATGTGTCAAAAACAGGCTGGTTATCAGACCGTCAAATTTTCTTTATCCTGGATCTGGTATTTTGGTCCTTTGAAGTAATCCACAAGTTTTCTCTTCTACCAAGGCCTCCCGATAGTTAAGACAATGAAAGATAAGCAAAGTCAAGTACATGTGACAGAGGCACTCTATCAGGCGGTTGGATCTGCTCTTTTTATTGCCAAAGGCAATGTTACCAATTCATAATAGTCCTAGCTTGACTTCAGAGATTGGTCCAATCGCAATCTTTCTATAGACCATCTATATGATTGATAGCTTCTCTCACTGCTGATCAATAGCTATATTCGGAAATGACAGTTATATATGGTTAGGCCAACGGATAAATGTTCATGCCCTCTGCGGGATTTGAACTTGTCTCTTGTGATTTGACCTATGGAGTGCTAACCACTGCACTATCGACTCATAGGTCATTATGATATTCTTTAATAATTTCTAGAGAAATATATTCTTAATTATAATCAAAGAATTGTAGTTTAGGATAGATTAGAAACTATTTGATCTTATTACCTAATTGAAATAAAAAGAAGACTTTGATTTTAAATTTTGTCTAACTAGAATAATAAAAGAAAAAGATCTTAGCTTAAACAAATAGTAATTTTTTTATTACTTGAGAACTTGTTGCTTGTATCTTATTGATCTTATAGAACTAGATCTATAGGTTAATTCAATTGAAGAAGTAGAGCAAATATATGATATCAATCAACTCTTTCTATTATTAATAATATTATCAGAATATATAATATATCAGTAAGGACTTGTTTATATTTAATTATTAATATGTTTCATGTCTATCATATCAGAAAATTTTTTAGACAAAAATCTCCAGAGATCTTTAGGCATAAATCTTTGAAGGACTTCTAGTATCATTAGAAGTCTCTGGAGTAAAAGTTATATATATAATTTCTCGAGATAATCAAAAAAATTTTCAAATATCTCCGGAGATTATATTAAAAAAATTTTAATATAATTTCTGGAGATTTTTGAAGATTTTTAAACATAATAAAATATGTTTACATAAAATTATATATAAATATTATTAAAAATTGTATTACAAATATTTATTTATATTTAAAGATTATTTATTAAATTCATTTCACATTATATATTTATTCTTTTGTTAAGCTTATTGCCAAAGGATTTCTCTCCAATGATAAATTTTCAATGTTTAATGCCATATCATTTTCATTATTTTCAGTTACCATCGAAGGTTTTAGAACTTCTATTTTACTATTATTACTCATTGGTTCATTATTGGATCCATCTTTATTACTAGAATCTTCTTCTGCGAATCCGATTTCTCTTATAATTTTTTCCTAAAAATATATATTAGTAAATGTTTTATATTTCCAAAGATCTTTGAAGCCTTCAAAGCTTACCTTATATTTCTTAATTTTTAATTTTAGAACTGTTTTATTTATAGTAATTATTTCATTATGTGGATTTAGAACAGATTGGCAAATTGCGATAGCAAATGCTATTTGTTTGGTGGAGGAGTCTCCTCTTGACCAAACTTTTTTGAGAATGCGTGTTATTATATTTTGATCCTTCTTTTCCGGAAGTTTATGAAGATTATTATAACATTCAGCTATCTTGCGTGACTGCTTCTATGTTATAATTTTAACGGCCGATGCACTGATGTAGATTATATTGAGTAATCCTTTACTAAAAACTGAAAACATAGTGTCGCAAACCTTCGAAGCCGTAGTTTCATAGATAGATCTATATTGCGTGATGAGCTATTAAATAAAATTGGAGTGTTAATAATTTAAAATAAATATATATAATTTATTGAACTTACTTCTTGGCGAATATGCTTTTCATAGTATGTTTTCCATTATTTTCTTGAAAGTCCTTCGTAGAACTCTGAATATTTCCTCTGAAAAATTTCTTGGTTTGCTTGTGAAAGTCTTCAGATTTTACATATATTTTTTCTTTAAACAATTCTTTCACAATTCCCTTGACCGCTTTTTAATAAAATATCAAATATATTATTGAAGTTCTTTGAAGATCTTTAACTTATAGCTTACGTCAATAAATTCTTGTTCGGTAATTAAATATATACTTGTGCAAATTTCATTTTTGAGGCAGGTGACCTTATCCTCTACACTTTTTGTTCTAGCAACTGATCCATTTTCTTATGGAGGGCTTCATTGGATTTCAAAATTTTCGCAAGAAACCTATCATGATCTAAACAAATAGTTAGTATTTATTTATATATGTACTATATTCTTTTAATATACCTGAAGTTCCTTCATACATCCAAATCAGCGTGATGTAGTTTCGTGGGTACTTCTGGAGATTCGTAAAGACTTGTGGAGAATGTCTTTATCTACATCGAGTGGAAACATTTTTCTCAGGATTTCAACATGACCATGAGACTTCGAAGAACTTGATGTCTTATTGGAAGCCTACAAAAAACTTCTATTATAGTTTCCTTTTTCACCGGAAGTTTTACCTGAAATAATGTTTTGAAAAATGTTACACCTTTCTTGTCTTTTATTTGACATTAAGAAAATTGTGAAGAAACTTAGAAACTTATATAACACAAATCCCAAGAAATTATGTCACTTTATAACTACATATAAATCTTTATTACTATTTAAAAATGACTTCATGATTTTAAATATTATTAGCTTGCTTAAAAAATGAAGTACTTTGCTTTGAAAATATAATCATCAAAATGTTGATGTAATAATCTATAAATTAAAATTTTGATTGGTCATGGTTGAACAATACTTTATTGGTTAATTCTACATGCCTTTAAAGATCTCTGAAGGTTTTTACAATAAGTTATAAATGTCAATTCTGTCAACGTACTTTTTCATGACACTCCACATATATAAGACATATTATCAAATGTATATTGACAGTGGACTCTAGTAACAAATCTAATGAATATTTCAAAGGCAATAAAGTTTTCAAGCATTTCAAGCATTGTTGAAGAATTGTAGAGATCTCTGGAGGTATTTAAATTTAATTTTTCGATGTTAATTTATTTATTAATGTTAAATTTATTTTTAGAATTCTGTGGAGAATTTAAATTCTCCTGAAAATAATAATTCTATTCATGAAGATTCTTATGATATTAATTTATTAGAAGAATCTTTAGATAATTATGAGTCTTCAGATTCTTTCGAAGAAACCTTTAATAAATTTTCCAATGAAGCATATACAGATTTAATGATACTTGTTTTAAAAAATAAACTGAGTACTAATTTATCAATTAGTTCATTGCCAAAAAATATTCAATAAGGATATAAATTTATGAATAATATAAAACAACTGCATTTAGATTATTTTAAAACTTGTATATTAGCTCATAATAATGTAGAATACTTTTTATATCAATGGTCCATTATTAGTTGCATTAAAAATATTCTGGAGGTCTCTAACATTATTCAAGATTTTGTAAAGGATTTCGAAATTCTTTATCAAGATAAAAATTATTTTAAATTAAATATTTAATTTTATTTTATTTATTAATTATTTTATTTATAGAATGCTAGAGAAAGAATTTACAAAGAACAAAATAATTGCGACTGGTGGAGAGTTATAGAGAATTCTATTCCATCGGGCTCTAAATTACTTTCAATTATCTTATATTCAGATACAACTAATTGTGATACTTTGGGAAAAAGTTTGTTATATCCAATATATATTTAATTAGGAAATATATTAACTTGGAAACGCAATAAACCGGATGCAAAACAGCTGTTAGAATATTCATCATAATTAAATCAAAAAATATAATAGAAAAACAATCATCAAATTTCAAAAAACTTATATGCGAAACCTTCCACAAATCTCTGGAGATCTTACTTGAGCCATTAACTTTGATAAAAAATGGAATAGATCTTTCAATTGAAGGCAAGTAATTTAAATAATTCCTGTTATTTTTGCTTAATTACAAAAGAGAATCTTGCAGAAATAAATTTATCAATTAATAATATAATACCTCAAAGCCATGAAAATATAAAAAAAATATTTCAATCAAATTTAACAAAATCAGTATCAATAAAAAATATTAATAATTTTTTTTGTAGAATTCCGTAAGTTATTATAACTATATATAATTTCCGCTGATCCCCTTTTTCCTAAAAAATTTCCTTATTTGATAATTTTCTTGGAAAAGAGAAGCCAACCTCAAAATCACTTTATCCTTTAAAGATTTAGAACTTAACAACAAACTACAACAGTTAACCACTTTCCC